ATAACGTTCAGTCTGATGTGCCAAAAATAAACTATAAAATCAAATCAAATGTGAATTTCATGTAACAAAGAAAAAGTTTCAATATAAACTTAAGCTAATACCCAAAAAGCTAAAAATTAGTAAAGGATTGGCATCTGTAAAGAATCCCAAATGTTCTCCTCAAGTCCCATTGGTTACAGCAATATAGCAGCTGCTTCTGAAATTGCATACTGTTAGCTATATTAGGTACTATGTTTGGTGTGAAACTTACTTTGCAACCATTAAAAAAAGTAATGTCCTATAAATGGAATTTGGACATCAGACATGTTATCAATATCATGTGACCTACAGCGATTCATTGCCATTCACAACTCCCCTCCTGTGGACAGTAAAGTGTCCATCGAATGTGCACTTCAGAATCTTGGTGGAATTAGTAGGTCATCCAGGTAGTTTTTGCCAACTATTTTTCAAATAATATGCATTCAGACACACTGCTCTGTTGGCATACTATTTTTCACATACTATTTAAGTAGGGAAGTATTCGATTTTGGGTGCAAGTGTATCTAAAGAATTTACCAATGTTCAGACAAGGTAAATCCCTCACCAAACAGCTAATTGTATGGGGTACAATCTCAACCTCACTTCATCGACTGATGTAGAAGTTTAATTGTCTAACCACTTCAACAAACAAATCAATGTTATGACAGCACCACAGAGCCACTCAGTTTACACTCACCCTACAAATAGCTTATTTATATACTGTATCTCACAAAAGTAAGTACAACCCTCACATTTCAGCAAACATTTTAGCATATATTCTCAAGGGACAATACTACAGAAATGAAACTTGGATATGTATTAGAGTATGTGCTGCTTGTATAGCAGTATATATTTACTGTCCTCTGAAAATAACTCAAAATACAGCAATGATTGTCAAAATAGCTGGCAACAAAAGTGAATACACCCTAAGTGAACATGTCAAAACAGTGTCCAAATATTTTGTTTGAGCACTATTGTTATCTAGCATTGCTTAAATCTTCCTGGCCATGGAATTCACCAGAGCTGCACAGGTTGTTGTTGGGATCCTCATCCATTCCTCCATAATGACACCACAGAGCTGCTGGATGTTAGACACAGTACTTCTCCTCCTTCTACTTGAGGATGCCCCATGGGTGCTCAATAGGGTCAGGTCTGGAGACATACTCCATACTCCATGGCCACTCCATCACCTTCACCTTCAGCTTCATCAGCAGGGCAGTTGTCATCTTGCCGGTGTGTTTGGGGTCATTATCATGCCGTTCGGCCCAGTTTCTAAAGGGAACGCATCATGTTCTGCTTCATAATGTCACAGTACATGTTAGAATCAATGTGTCCATCAATGAAGCTCAGTTCCCTCTTGGTACTCCTCACCAGGGATTCGCCACACATGCTGGACACCATCTGAGCCAAACAAGTTTATCTTAGTCTCATCAGACCACAGGACATGGTTCCAGTAATTCATGCTCTTGGAAAGGTTGCTTTCAGCGAACTGTTTGCAGGCTTTCTTGTGAGTCAGCTTCAGAAGAGGCTTTTTGGGACGACGGCCATGCAAACCGACTTGTTGCAGTGTGTGGTGTTTGGTCTGAGCACTGACAAGCTGACCTTCCACTTCTGCAACATCTAAAGCAATGCAGATGCATACATAGGCATACATAGCCTGCCTCCTCAACATGACTAATTAATAGGCGAGATTTTATATGCCATATCATCAAAATGTCCATAATACGAAAACTCTGCCGGTCACTTTGCCCGCCACCTTTTTTTCTAGAGCAAACTCTGGTGTATATTTACAGTATATATATATATATATATATATATATATATATATATATATATATATATATTAGGGCTGTGCAAAAATAAATTGCGATTAATCGCATCCAAAATAAAAGTCTGTGTTTACATAATATATTTGTGTGTGCTGTATATAATTCAATATATTTCATATGCATGCATGTATATATTTAAGAATTATTTTTGCTTTAATTCTGTATGTGTATTTCTATATATATATATATATATATATATATATATATATATATACATAATCTCTATTATATAAATATAAATATTTTATATATGAATAACACATTTTCTTAAATATATACATGCAAGTGTGTGTATTTATATATACAAAATAATTCTATACAGCACACACAAATATAATATGTAAACACAGACTTTTATTTTGGATGCGATCAGTGTTGTGCAAGTTACTTCCAAACTGTAATACATTAGGTATTACTTGTTACTGTTATTTAAAAGTAATTCATTACCTTAAAAACAGGGGTGCCCAATCCTGCTCCTGGCGATCGACTGTCCTGCACAGTTCATCTCAAACCCTAATCAAACACACCTGAAGTAGCCAATTAAGGTCTTTAGGATCACATTCAGGTGTGTTTGATTAGGGTTGGAGATGAACTGTGCAGGACAGTCGATCGCCAGGAGCAGGATTGGGCACCCCTGCCTTACAATATTACTGTCCCAGAATTGTAATGCATTACATTACTCATGTATTACTTTTGAGTTACTTTCACCAAAATAACTAAGTAGAACTTAACTTTTGGGCTGTAACGATATGCAATATGAAACCGAAATCGCGATTCGCCACACGACTCAGATCCACGAACCTACAGAATCGCGACACACCTCTTCCAACTCCAGCGTTATTCTCCTTGCCGTCCATATCCAATGCTGCCTTATCTTTAAATTAGGCTATTAGTATTATTTGAAGTTAACATTATAAAATACGTAGACCTACACCACAAAACTAGTTGAGGATAAATTATTTAAAATTGGGGAAGTCCAGCATTATGGACATGACATTTGCAGTCAAAACTTGAAATAAAAATTCTCAGAAAAAACATGTATTGAAACGTATATTGGATTACTTCCTTAAAGGACTCCAGACATTAGACAAATATCAGTCTATGTTTTATTTTTAATATTAGGGAAAAGACACACATTCATGCGTGACAAAAAAATAGGAGGCAAAATCGATTTTTTGTAATTCTGTTAATTACACTACGCAAATCGGATGAGGAAGGGTTGGCTCTCCAGTCTCCATAGAACTTAAAATATTTATTTTATTTTAGTTTTCGTGTTCGCATTTATGAGGAAAAAACAATGTTACAGACGCGACCGCTCTGAACTGGCACTAAAAGACTGCTTTAAAACTTTCACATAGTCTGTTGCCTTTAAGAAGTAAAAGCAGACAATACACTGTAATACAACTGTAATACAAGCCTCATTGAACATGTAACGAGTAAAATATTACTGAAAATTGATTAGTAATGCCTTACACTACTGCGTTACAGCAAAAAGTAATATGTTACTGTAATGTATTACTTTTGTAATGCGTTACTCCCAACACTGGATGTGATTAATTGCAATTAATTTTGGAACAAATTATATATATATATATATATATATATATATATATATACACACACACACATACACTTCATTTTAAAACATTCATTAGGCATCATCAAATGCTAAATGATGTCAAACACTAGCTAACTGTGATGCTAAAGGCTTTAACAGCTGCCGGGGTCTGTCCACACTAGGAGAGTCTTTGGCTCGGGCACCAAACCAGCTGCAGTGAAATCAAAAGCTCATTGTCAGGTACATTTCATATAGCCCCAGTGCTGCCTCATTCTCACAGCTAACCTCACATCTTCTCCGGGTACTATTGTGTCAGAACGAAAATAGAATGTCATTACGGTTGTAAAGAGCAAAAAACAGCAATGTTCCATCTTCATCTGCACCCCGCTCTCCAGCCGTGACAGTGTGAAGCAGAACTGTCCTTTTACACACAGGATGAAATAGCGAACTGGGCGGCAGAGGAAGAGCAGGGGGCACTGATAGAGCCGCTCCACCCCATTCCATTAGCCCTCCATCTCTTGCTCCCCTTCTCTCCCAACTGAGTTATGGTGATGAGGGGAGGGATTTGTTAAGCCATTTATTTGAACCTAGATAAAGAAAATCTGGCAAGCGAGTAAGAAAATGGCCTTGAACTCGACGCCAAAGTCATGACACAGAGCACAGCAGTTTTGTCTCTCCTGTGGTAGCCACTCAATGTGGTTTTCTTTATCTTCCATTCTCCTTTAATATAATCTCCAGTGTTTCATTTTTCTATAATGTCTGAGAAGTATATAAAGGCTATATATCTAGATATTGCACATCATTTCTCAATATATGTGTATCCTTTTCCTTGCAGTTATTAGCAGGCCCACATAGAAAGAGAGAGCTACCTAAAACTCATAAAGCGGTCCCACTGTGTGTTGGCTTATTGAATATTTAAGTTAATTTGATAAATCTTTCAGATCCCAGTAAGAGTAGCTCCATATACACTAGTTTAAAAGTTGTGGTAGGTAAGATTCAACCTAAAATAAAAAAAGGGATATTCAATTTTTTTTAAAAGTGTGAGTAAATACGTACATTTAGAAATGTTATTTAATTAATTTATATTTCAAATAAATTCAGTAAAAAATCCTGAAAAAAACATGAATTACGGTTTCCAAAAAAAAAAAAAAAAAAAAAAAATATTGAGCAGAAAATCAGCTTATTAAAATTATTTCTAAAGGTTCATGTGACACTGAAGACTGGATTGCCATAACAATAATTAAATGTATTTTTTAAATAAATTAAAATAGAAAACAGTTATTTTAAATTATATTAAATAAGAATAATTTTACTGTTTTTTTTTTTTTGTTTGATTTTTTTAAATCATAAATGCAGCCTGGGTCTGCATAGGAGACTTCTTTCAGAGAAATAAAAATAATACAAACCCCAAGCACAAGTTTAAATTAGATTTCCCCACCAATTTAGCAGAGAAAAGGTCCACCAAAGTCATTGTGAATTGTGTCTGGGCATACATATTTTTCATTGCAAATGAATTTTTCTAATGTTGCAAGCATGAAACTATATTTGGGCATTGTGTTGCGAGTTAATACAAACACGCTTACGGAAACATTCACCTTGGAAGGGTCAGAAGCTGTGATGATCCAGGTACAGTTGGCATTGTTGTCATATTGTACTGGGAAATTTGGGGAGGTGATGATTCCACTAGGGCCACGGAGCTGACCACCACACATAGGAGCTGAAAGAAAAGAGACAAAGCATGTTAAAACAAATTGTGCAGTTTGACTCTTCATAGAGTGAAAGAAAATCTCATCTATGAAACTGTAAGACTAGAAAAACTGGTTGAAGAGATAGACCTGACCACTGGTCTATGAGACAAATGACCTTGCTGGGAATTAACATTTGACTTCCCCCCCTCTTCTCCTGAGACGGAAGTCCACCTACATGTCATTCTCTCTTGCAGAGATCACCCAAACTCACACAAGAATCTACTGTATATGGTTTTAATTTGAACAACTATACGGTTTTTATATATGTTTGGTTTTATTTGAAATGTCTCTGGTACAAATGTCTCATTTCCAAATAAGTAAAACGAAAGGTATGGGTGTAAACTCAATGCTAATTCCCGCTGTTAGCAAATGGTACCATGTAAATCAACTTCTGCCCCCAGTTAGTCTGGGAGGGTGAACACAGTCCATTTCCACTGTGAACTCATGTTGAACTTAAATTAGGTCTGGCTATATTATGAAATGCAACAAGAAGATCAGGGCCTTTTCTGTATCTCAGGTGAGCCTGTGAGGCCGGGAGTCGCAAGACGCTCTGATTCATGTATATATTTCCTAATGACGGGTTCGTCTTTCATTTTTATTCCAGAACATTTGATATTTTGTATGTATTATCTTTGAACTGATGATAAATTTACCTGACATAATAAATTGTTACATTTGATGATTCTTCTAATTGATATTGTTTCATTAGAGTTTAAAGGAATTAGTCAAACCTTCGAGAATAACGAGAAATAACGAGAAAATACATGCATTTAATCAAAATTCCTTTGCCACGCGGAGAGACATTAACACAGAGAGACCTTCTCCCACTGATCGAATACTGCCATTGGATCGATCGAGCCGGCCTTACAGAAGATGTGATGCTTTCGAGGGGAAAAGGAGCCAATGTCAGTACCAATCACAGTAACAGTTCCTTAACAATAGAATTTGTAATTTGTGAAATATGTTCAGATGTAACATATTTTGGTACAGATGTGCTCCTCTCGGTCAGATACAAAAAAAACAATATGTACCTGTACATATTGTTAAATATTTATAATAATTTGGACTTCAAGGTCGTTTTCAGCTTCATGAAATTCCATTTAAAATTTAGACTGAAAATAATTATAATTTCTGTGTAATCACACATTTATTTTCTTCAGTGCTGTTTTAGTTGTTATTATAGTTTTATTATTTAGAATTTTTATATTTTTAACTTCCATGTTAATTTTGGTTTAATACATATTTTCAATGCTATTTCAGTTAAATTTATTTCATTTATTATTATTATTATTTTTTTAATTTTAGTTATTTATTTCCAGTTAATAACAATTGTAATGTTTCAACCTAAAATTATTTCATTTTATTGCATAGGTAGCATTTCTAATTTAGTTGAATTTAAGTTTTTCACTAATGTTTCTGTTTTATTTCAGCTGTATTTCAATGTTTCTAATAGTTTAATTTTAGTGAATGACAAAATCCTTAGCAAGTAAAAATGTCTCAAATGTTTTATCCAATGTCTAAAGAACTAGTGAAGCACATTTCAAATCCACAACATCAGTCTGAAGTGTAAACCTAAAAAGAAAAGCAACAGGACCACAGACACTTTACTCACTACTCAACAGTCATACTCGCAGGTCAAAAGAGTTTCATTTCTAGAAATCATTTCTAGAAATCACTTATCGAACTATTACCCATTTTCAAAAGTTGTGATTGGCTTGTGATTGGCTGCCAGGCTGATGAAATGCAACAAAACCTTAAATTGTAAAAAACACGTATGAAGGCTTACCCCTCAGCTGCAGTCAATGTTTTGAACTTGATTATTGTTAAAGTTACCAGAAATAATCGATCTTGGGTTGTTGGTTTTGATTGGACTGGCATGTGAGCTGAATGTTCAGTCACCTTACCAATGACTTTTCTGTGACTTGTCTATAAGTCAAGTCTTTTGCGACACTCTCGTGGCCTCCAGGAGGACTTTAAATGCCTCCTTGAATGAAGGTACTCGATGTCTAATGAGAAAGAAGGGCACAGCCAGTGTGTTTGCACTAAATGAATGTTTCTGGAGGTCTGGGACCAGCTGGAGCTTTTAATGAGCTATGTCTGAGGTGAGCTCCTCAGGGCCTCCCCTATCACACACACACGCACGCACACACAAGTTTCCTCAAACACTTTAAGGTGGGCTGACATTAAAGAACAAAAGTCTTTGGAAAGTTAATTAACATCAGGGCCGCTTGACCCCATTTTTCACCTTCACAACATAATGTGTGTCTTCTGCAGGTTTATGCTTTAAAGTTTGGGCTTGCTAATAACACACATTCATTTATATATTTTTTTGGTCATTCAAAATTATTGAGGGATAAAAAAGTTCTCAAAAAGACAACATTGTGGTTATCTGCTCCCTGTAACAGAGAAATGTCCTGTTTATGTTTGTTTTAGGTTTTAACGTACAGGTAAACTCCCTGCAACTATTACACCAAATGCTAAGTTGTTATTAGATTGTCACATAAAAAGTTTCTAAGTTTCTGCAAGGTTCTAAAAAGTTGAGTTTATGGTTATACAATTAAAACACACAATTCTGGGACTTGGTCCCAGGGAACTGGAATGTTAGTGAAACGTATTAAGTTTGCAGGGATTGAAGCTAAAACTCATATTCTCCAACATGCTAATCATGCTATTACTAGAAGATATCTATTAGCAAGGCAGGACTGCAAAAAGATAATCATTTCAAGTTCCCCTTGTTCAGGCTGAATTCAATCAGATTAGATTCAGGCCAACAGTTCCAAAACCCTGGATTTCTTAATGCACATTTCAGTTGTAGATGTCAAGCCTATTGCAGACCAAAATGAGGGTTTTGAACAGAGAAGTTTACTTTGATTTGTGAAAATGGCAGGGATCCATTCCAAAGAGTTCATTAAGCCACTGGAACTACACAATCAACATTAAATAACTGCTAAGACTTCAATTTTCTACAAATACAACTCATTTGTCATGATGTGGTGCATTTCAGATTCTATTAAGGTATTCTATTAATGATTTTATTTCTAAATATCCAATAAAACACTACTAAATACAACAGAAATGCAACATATTTCTCATGACATGTAGTGTATTTCAGGTTTTATTAAAGTTTTAAGCTTGATTTTATTTCTAAATATTCAATAAAAAGCCACATTTGTATTGTATCGATCTCTTGTGTGAGTCCTATGCTTTTAAATACTGCAAAAAATGAAACAATCCTTTCTACATACATAGAGAAAAAGAACCTCAAGGACACACTATTATTATTGAGCGTTTTATGCTTGTATTTATGTATTTAACGACAATGATTTATGAATGCTTTTTTCTGTGGCGCCATTACCAATTATTCTTATGATTCCGATTTTCCTGAAGCATGCAATTAAAATGGGCCATTTTATGAATAATGGCCTGGCATTTAGAGTGTTAAATCAATGAAACAAGACAAATAATCATTCTCTACGTTAGTTGTGAAAGAGTGCAAGTGATGAAAAAACTGGTTCCAGGGAGCAATAGCTAAATATCAACTCTTTTCACATGAGTAATGGGGCTGATAAGGGAACTTGGTCCATCTGGTGATTCCGACAGTTTCCCAATTCCAGGTCCATTTCCCCCTCTTACCACAAGCTCACAGCGATGTGCCAAAAACTGATCGTTAAATAATCAAAAACAAAGGCAACTGGTGCAATTCATCACAAAGCTGTCCAACTAACTTTCTCCCGAAGATTGTCAAGCCTGAGGGGTCCACTGTGGCAAAGGCCATTGGTGGTGTTGGAGAAGGGATATGTAACTCTAATGAAAGACTAATAGCTGGCAGAGCAGCACAATAGAAAATAATCGATATGAAGGAGAAGGGAGCAGGTATAACCAAAGCTTCGTGTGTGAGTGTGTATACTGTATATATATTTATATATATATATATATATATATATTTTTTTTTTTTCTTTGGTAATATGTTAGCCCATACTAACAAAACACACATGCATTGCATACTGTGCAGTGGGGTCCAAAAGTCTGTTATTGTTTATTTAAAGTTTTAAATATAATATAAAATAAAAATAAAATTAATATTAAAAATCAGTGTACACAAACACCGTTCAAAAGTTTGGTGTCGGTAAGATTGTAAGTATTTTTTTAATCAAATAATTTCAATTACTACAATGTTTTAATTTTTATTTATTTATTTAATTATATTTTTATTTTAATTATTTATCCCTGTGATGGCAAAGCTGAATTTTCTGCGTCATTAACCTAGTCTTCGGTATCACATGTTCCTTCATAAATTAGTCTAATATGACGACATGGTGCTCAAAAAACAAATACAAATCTTGTGAAACATTCTAAAAGATTTTAGAATGAAATCTTTTGGAATTTACTGTCACAGAAAAAAAAAATGCTGTCACATTTTATCAATTGAATGCGTCCTTGGTGAATAAATAATTTCTTAAAAAAAAAAAAAAAAAAAAAAAACCCTTACTGACCCCAAACGTTTGAACAGTTATAGCTGTAAGTGTGTTTACATAGTATAACAATAATATAATAATAATTTTAAAATTAAATTATAATAAAATGTGCCCGATGTCATGAAAGTTGTTCGAATGTTATTTCTAATGTTATTGAAATATGAATGTTATTATAACGAATGTTATTTCTCGTGCAATTTATACGCCAAAAATAGTTTTTACGTCTATATGACACACAGTTTTCGCGTGCATATGATACGCACTTTATGGCGTGTAAATGCCATAACACGACAAAAAAAAAACAAAAAAACAACAACATTTTTTCCATATAAATGGCACGAGAAATTACATTTGTGGTATAGATACGCACTTTCATGAGACTGTGTTGAATATATATTTCAGGAAGCTTTGGACCCCATAGTATGCTCTCTTAAGGTACCATACCACTGACAGGCTTTAACTGCATGTAGTTAAGATGCATGGGGTTGGTACCAGAGAACTAAATGGCAGACTTGCACTTCAATTTACGGCCTAAGGCAAAGGTGGCAGCATGGTGGACAGCATCTCTCTGGGGATGTGACAGCTGCAGCAGGAATGAAGTCCTGGGGGCTGTCCTAGCCAATCAAAGTCAGAAATTAAGTAAGGCTCAATAAAGTAATTAATCGGAGCCTGGTGAGGCTAAATAAGCTGATTACTGGCTGAGCGATACCATCTCGTCCTTCTTAGGAAATCTGCTTTAGAGATCTGTTGTCATCCTCTCCATTTCCTCTCTCTCATCTCTCGCTTTTTTTTCCCCCATTGTCCTCTTTCATTGTCAGGTCGTTAATCAAGGCTCTTTAACTCTGCAGAGATACACTGGGATTTCAAATAATTTAACTATTTATTAAACAAATGGCCTTAAATCTGCTGTGATACATATGTTTTGTGTTAGTATGGCATGAGACATTATTAGAGCACATGGATATGGTGAATTTACGTTGGTTAATTTAGTACAGGGATTCTAGTTTGTTTTGATATAGTAGTGGACATTAGGAAATAAGCAATGCTAAATGTAAGTAATAAAATGTATCTTACCATATATATATATATATATTAGGGCTGTGCAAAAGTTAATTGCGATTAATCGCATCCAAAATAAAAGTCTGTTTTACATAATATATTTGAGTGTGCTGTATATAATTATTTTGTATATATAAATACCTATGCATGCATGTATATATTTAAGAATTATTTGTGCTTAAATTCTCTCTCTCTCTCTCTATATATATATATATATATATTAATACATAATCTATATTATATAAATATAAATATTTTATATAGGAATAACTCATTTTCTTAAACATATACATGCATGTGTGTGTATTTATATATACAAAATAATTATATACAGCACACACAAATATACTATGTAAACACAGACTTTTATTTTGGATGCGATTAATCGCAATTAACTTTTGCACAGCCCTAATATATATATATATATATATATATATATATATATATATATATATTACTTTTAAACAATAGACTATTTTGGCTTATGTTTGGAAAAAAAATTTAGCAGATGCTTTCAAAAAAAAGCAACATACCTCTACAGATAGGCCGGTCATCACTCCATCCAACATAACTGTCCGTCACTCGCAGGCAGGTGATGCTTTTAGACCCCTGAAGCTCGTATCCTTCATCACAAGAAAAGTGCACAGTAGCACCCCGCCTGCGAGAAGAAACTGATTATTATTTTGCAAGAATAACAACCCATACATGTATAAATCAAACATTATGGACATGCTCTACAGTCAGACGGCCATTATGGCAAAACAAATCCCAATAGAGTAATCAGGCCCCTGATGGGGACGTTTATTTTGTGATAATATCTGGCCACCACACATGATCCTACTTATTACACAGCTACTAAGCAACCAAATAAATAAATAAATGGATATGAAATATTGCTACGAGTTGAAATTATTGTATTTTGTGAGAAAGAAAGTGACTGCACAGTCTTACAAAAGACATAAAACCCACACAGGGATAAGATCAATTATGCAATTTATCAGTCATTCTACACAATTTGTTTGGCTGCAGAATGGTGTAAATGATGAATAAGATCAATTCCAAGACATGCTCTATTAAAGGGACACTTCACCCATTTGCATTAAGCTTTGTATCTTTAGAAACCCAGTCATATTTTTGAATAGCCATGGTTTATTCCCTTATTTTCCCCTGAGATGGGAGAAATAAGGATTTAAGTGTGTCACTTCCTGCTTATTATGACGTAAAAATCGTCATTTTGCGTCATGATAAGCAGGAAGTCACATTTCATTAAAAAGTGTAGAGACTACAAACATTAGCTCATTATTATTCAAGGGTATGGGACCCACTCACCCTACAGGCCTATTACAGATCAATGGGTGGGACTTCACTTGCAGAAACTGAATCATCTCCACAGTTTAGAGGACGTGGGAAATGCCAACGCATTCTCATCCTTTAACGTCATATAGAACGCTATATGCAAAAACGGCGCTATACTACGCACATGTCACCCGTTATCGTTAATATAACACGCGCTGTGAGGGCTAAGTTTAGGTGTGGGGTAGGGTGTGCGTGTCATATTCACGCTAAAGGATTTATAACGTCTTGGGTTTGCGTGTTATATTAACGATAAAGGGTGCCATGTGCATAGTATAGCGCCGTTTTTGCATATAGCGTTCTATATGACGTTAAAGGATGAGAACGGGCTGGAAATGCAGGTTAAGGAGATGACGGTGTACTAATTTAGCTTTAGCAAGAACACTTGGATGTGTGCCTAATGTTAGCACACATTTATTTAGGCTCAAATTAACGTTAGAGCTAGCAGCCATGTAAAGTGGCTAACGTTATGCTACTACTTTTTAAGTTTTAAATGATAAATGATAAGTTTGATGTTGATTAATGAAAGGCGAACATTTGGATTTCCTGCCCCACATAATTCCCACATGGCGTCACTTTCATTCCCGTTCACATCCCGAGGCGTCATATACTGACGCTTTTGTCAATGCGTGCCCTTTAGCGTCAATATGAGACGCAGATACATATGGGCCAGAAGGCGCCTCCTAGTGGTCTAACCCTAACCCTACCCCAGAACTAAACCTACCCATAACCGAAGCATGTTATATTGACGCTAAAGGGTGCCATGTGCGTTGGATGCATACACATTGTCAAAAGATGATCCGTCAGACTGCATGACTTCGCCAATTCCTGTGGAGGTTTTTCTTTTTTTTCTTCTTCTTTTTCCTCTGCGATTAACTGACTAATTAAAATTTGGTCGACTAATCCTCTTCTCGTCGAATAACATTTACTCTACTATTAGGGGGCAGCCCTATTACATATATGACCCTAATAAGTCTAATAAGCCTTGTAAGTCTACAACTTAACCTTTGGCAAAGAAAGAGACGAGAACAATATCATCGATCGGTTCCCTGGATTATTTTCCAACTGTGCAAAGTGCTGATGTCAGATGACTCAAGCCCTTCACAGCAGCTCCCAAGCTCTCACATGCGAACCGTTATCTGTTCATGGCTAAATCAAATAGCATGTCAGCATAACTACCCCCTCTCGCCGCCCGGAAGCAGTGGTCCTGTCTGATCTTGGTAATGGACAGCCTTTAGGAAACTGTGATGTGCGCATCCAGATGCATCGATGTGCCACTTCCATTACCAAGCCGCTGATGAACGGGTTCTTAGGTAGCCGGAGCTAAGAACATTCTAGTAAAAAAGTTTCGATTGTCTTTCACTTCCCTGCTGCGATTGCCCTGAGAGCTAGTGAGTGTAAAACGGATTGTCCCCATTTGTCTGTGTTAGAATCCTCTAGGGCGCTGCCATTCACCCTGCGGGGGGACGCTGACAGCCTAACTTGCACCGCAGGCCTCTCTGTAGAAGCACTGTGCCTGGAAATGACACGACTATAGCTCTGTCCCCACTCAATTAAATAGGTCTGGACCTCTGTCTCATTTTCGATCTCATTGCCTCTCTGTTCTCTTTTTTCGATCATAAACGATGGTTCAAATTTCACTTTGTTACTCTTTCAGGACATTCCTAAGGTTTTCAAGTCCCCTTCATTCATGTCTTAATGTATTAAATGAAACAAACTCAAAATGTTTCAAGATGGACATCATATAGCTTGTTTTCTGTCATCAGAAAATCACAATTGAGTCAATAAAGTTTAATAATTTTACTAATTTGGTTGAGACAAATGTTGCCATTTCCCAAAGTCTAACATAGGTACTTTTCTTTATCTCTAAAATGTTATCCTGGAAATCATTTTCATTTAATCAATGTATATGTATGTTTTTCTTTTCTTTGATCTCAATATAAATCAGTTAAAAGGGATTGTCCATTCAAAAATAAACAATTATTTCGTCTGTGGAACATAAAAAAAAATATATATATTTTGAAGAATGTTGGTAAGTAAACCATTTCATTTCCTATTGACTTCATTGTATTTTTGTCCATACAAGTTACCATCATTTCTTCTTTAAGTTCCACAGAAGAAAGTACAGGTTTGGAATACCATGACAGTGAATAAATGATCATCACATTTTCGTTTTTGGATGGACTATTGCTTTAAATCTTTTTGCAATACATCTTCAACTAAACCCAATTTGTCAATAACATAAATCATCCTCAAGAAAGTGACTATTTTACTATAGTGAGAAAACAACAGCACAAATATCAGTATGTTAGCAAACTTTTTTTATTATTTTATTTTTTTTTTTTTTTATAAATCATGATTCTGTGATAGATAGTTAGCTTAGTTTGGTGTACTCTTGTTTTATTTTCTTTGAGTTTAGACTCAAATTATGTTAGAGTTAGACTGATTATGTTTGTTGTTTTTGGCAATACCCCCGTCTGAATCTTATACCCCTCTTTTTCTGTTGCCTAATTTGTAAATAAACACTACATTCTTTAATGAAATACTATGTGGTTATTGTAAAACAATTCTGGGTCTGGAGACGTGGTGGCTTTACACTGTTGCACATTCATTTCAACATCGTCCATTTTTGCTGTTGCTTTCCTCCCATAGACCAATCAGTAAATTGTAACAGTATTCAAAAACATTACAAAAACATCTCTATCTCACTCTCTCTCACTCTCTCTCTCTCTCTCTCTCTCTCTCTCTCTGACCTTTGGGAGCCCACAACCCATGTTTATGCTGATCAAATATCCTCCCTGAGCTCAGAGAATTAAAAGGCCAATGAGAAATTAAACAGGCGCCCACCTCCTGCATCTCTTGCTATTCATCATCCTGGCATTACAAACACTAAATTAACTGCACACCTCTTTCCTCTCTCCTCTGTCCTCTCAGTGGACTATTTTAATAAGTAATCCATAAACTAATTTCTCACCTGAAATCAGAGCCTTTTCTTTTGCCCCTCTCTGGGATTCCTGGATCTGGACACATGTTGTGTCCTTGAGCCACCCCCATCTGAGATACTGCAAAAGACAAAAAAAAAAAAAAAAAAAAAAGTGGAAAAGAAGTTGGTTAAATAGTAGGCGAGGATAAGGTGCAATGTCCCCCTCCACCAACTTTAATTTTCTTTATGTCCATGTAACACATGCATAGAATGATTATGCTTATTTTATTATTATTATTATTGTTATTTTTTTTATTTTTTATTTTTTATTTTTTTTGGTAACACTTCCTTTTACAGTCCAGTTACCCATTTAAATACTATGTACTTATTTTAGTAACTACAATTACTGGGTAATAACTAGTACTAACCCTGAACCTACCCCTAAACTTACCCCTGTTCCAAGTACTTACCTTATATCAGCACTTTCTAGATAAGTACACTGTAAGTACTGTACTGTAAAAGGAAGCGTTACCATTTTTTTTAGTACAGTGAAGTACTGATTGAATTTTATAGTGAAAGGTTCAAGTTTAACTATTTGCCCTTAATGACATGTTGCTCGTATTTTTTAATATTTTATAATTATCATTAATTCAATTATTATTAATATGTATAAATATTCAATCGGCTGTTATAACGTCCCTTTAATTTAAAGTGTAATTCAGATTTTAAGATAGTTGAATGTTAGTTGATTTATCATTATTTAACTAATCTTAAAATATCTATGCAATTACATAAAATATTTAATTTTGTATTTTATAGTTGCGACATTGTTTTAAACATTTTAAACTATACTATACTAATGATTTTCTATGTATTCTAAAAGAGGACCTCTTAGGCCCTTTTTACAAAATCTTGTTTTTGTTTGATCTACTAGAATAGGTTTCCATGCTTGAATGTAAAAAATAATAAATAAATAAAAATATCATAACATATTTTGTTGTAGCACGTCTCTTCCCAGTCTGTCAGCAACGCTCCGTTTCTTTACGATCTCTGTGACGCCCTTCCTTCTGAAAAGGGCAATGTGCTCTGATTGGTCGACTGGATCAGTGTGTTGTGATTGGTCAACTACTTGTTTGTTTTGGAAATGTCACACCCCTTAACATGACCGCAAGCTTCAACACAGTACTAAAGGCGGGTTCACACCGGACGCGGAAGTGGCGTGGAACGGAAAATCACATGCAGTTCGCCGCCTGTGGAGGTCGACAGGCGCTTCTGCTCAGCTGCTGTTTATTCAGAGCTATTTTTTTTTTTACATCATGGGTAAGTAAATAACCTCATAATATAAATACACGTTTCTGTAACCAAGAAGATTGTACACTTCTTTTATTAATCTGTTGTCGAGACACACACGCAGCCAGAGAGAGAATATGGTAGACAGTCATAGTAGTGTATATATACCGTTGAAATATACATCCTCTCTTCAAATTTATGAAATCTAGTTTCCTCTTCCTGTTTCACAGTTTACATTTTTACTTATCAACTCCTGCCTACATCTCTCTCTCTCGTTGTTTGCCTCTTTGTTTGTGAGTTCGCTTTTGCCCTCACGGAAATTTAATTTGAAAATTGCTTATATTTTGACAATAGAGTGCCGAAGCGATGACGTCACATTGTAGGACAACCAGGAAGCTAGCGGCGCATGGGTTCCCTCGGTCAAAAAGCAATGCATTTTCCCCATAGACTTTTGGAAAATCGCAAAAAATAATATATGTTTTTAACAAAGGGTTGTGACCCTTACACATTTTGTCTAGCAAGATAATCTTTACAAGTTAATCCAAAATGTATACATTTTGAAGCCTATATAAATATTTTAAAAAACACAAATCAGACACAATAAAGTTTAAAAAAAAAAAAAAACACAAGCAGGTTATACAGTAACTGTGTGTTCTGTGTCATAGATCAAAAAGTGAAAATATTTAGAGGCTCTGTTCACCACAGACCTTATTTCAGGCGATTTAGCAAAAACCCATTCAAAAATCCCATAGGCTTTAGAGCGAGGCAACCGTAATGCTAAAATGCTTACTCACTTCCGCGTTTTGGCCTACATAGTGACGTCGAAACTTTGGCACTCTATTGAACGGATGGGCGAGTGTTTCTTGGCATAACTTCATGCTGGAATTGACGCAGATCACTCGCGGCTCGTGAAAAAAAAATAGACCAGACACCGAAACTGGCATTTCGCATCTGATGTAAAGAAAGCGGTCTCCGTTCCGTGCCGCGTTGCTTTAGCGTCCAGTGTGAACATGGCGAAATGTGGCTGAACTAGGCCTCGTCCCCTTTATTTTGCATATGCCTTGGTGTGAGTTATTTGTGTACTGTATTAATTCTACATTCCCAGAAGAAAACTCAAGACTATAATGGAGGCATTTCAGGGAGTTCAGAAACAGTGTGCATTAATATAGAGAATAACTCCCTTTGGAGTGGACTTTGGAGTGTACATTTGCAGACCTTCTTCATGCTCAAATTGCAACATAAAAAAAAAAAAATTATATATATATATATATATATATATATATATATATATATATGTATGTATACTGTATATTTTTACATATAAAAATAGCATAATAGGTCCTCTTAAAAAAAAAAAAAAAAAAACTCTAAGAGGCTTCTTGAACCAGGTAGGTGGTCCATCCAACCCCAGTAAGCAGAGCAAAATGCCCCTCTTTCACAATTTTCAATGTTGTCCAATAATAACTAAATTACTAAATTTGTCTCTTTTTAATATACTGAAAGAAGCATCATCATCCTGCACTTGATTTATTTAAATGCACACTTTTCTTCAGGGCCACTTTCTTCCATCTTACCCAACTATTTTTGTCAGTACAGGGAAAAAAAGAACAGAAAGAACTGGCCGTTTTTTAATGTAAGGTGCTCAACACTATTATCTGGTTTACTTAACTGTAGCATAAAAGCAGTATCACACTTCACTTGCAATTGTGCCATTGGTCTGAACATCAGCATGAATTTACCTTGTAAAGAGAGCAAGGCCATCTATAAATGTATTCTACTGTCTACACAGCCTGCCCAGGAGGTTCATTGAATGAACAAAAGAATCAATCAGTCCTCCCAAGAATGCCAAGATATTTTCAGACATCATTATGTGAGTACAAAATTTTCCTTGGCATCACACAAGCTGAAGTCACCCAGCCCTGCAGGAAGTGGAAATGACACGCGGGGTCAAAAAGGTTGGCAGAAGCCTCAGCTTCAGCACTAGGTGGCTAGGAGGCTGGAGAAGATAGTGGAGGGAAAACCTGAAGTGACACATGTTGATTGGCCGAGGTGCACCTGTGTGCCGGCCCTCATGCATATTGATGTGGGACAAAAGGCCAAGCTTGTCAGCGCTGCCGTTGAGGCACTGCTGGCCACGGTGACGGCATTGAGATCCCAGATGACACCCTCAATGGGCATATGCTCACATGAGCAGGCTGACATTTTCTCACAATGATGCAGAGGTAATAGAAATGTAAATAAAGATGGCATAACAGAAGAAAGCAGGCTGAAGAAGACTCTCAGCACACAGAGCAATTACCCCAGCCCTCGATAAGCTTTTTCTTTCTCGGTTTGCCAACAATGGAAAAGGTAACTTATTTTCCCTCCCCTCTGGCCTTAGGGAGAAAAATATCTCCATTTGTTTCCAATTGACACAGCGTAGAATAAAGATAACGTTAATGTGCAAGATTGTGTGCTTTTGCCAAGCGTGAGCAAGCGTGGTACTGCTTTCATCAATCCATGGATAATGAAATTTGCACATGCACACTGACACAAAAACAAAAAGGAAACAATTAAGAAAGTTTTGGCTTTAAATGATTATATATTGTAAGGCTTCAGAATTTAGATTTGCAAATGAGTCCGTTCACTTTTCCGTTCACTCATGCTTAATATGAACATCATTCAGTATATAGGACACATCCCTGAATCAACATTCTTATCAAATATATAATTATATATTTTTGAAAGTCTGTCATGCTCAACAAGGCTGCATTTTTATCACAAATTCAACATAAGTACGGAGCCCCCCTAGTCCCACTTTGGCAAAAAAAATAAAAAAATAAATAAATATAAAAATAAAAATAAATAAATAAATAATTATAACCATCTTGTGGCCTCAATATACTAACTCGTGGCCTCAAGATACTATTTCGTGGCCTCAATATTGAGGCCACGAGATAGTATCTTGAGGCCACGAGTTACTATCTTGAGGCCACAAGTTAGTATCTTGAGGCCACGAGTTAGTATCTTGAGGCCACGAGTTAGTATCTTGAGGCCACGAGTTAGTATCTTGAGGCCACGAGTTAGTATCTTGAGGCCACAAGTTAGTATCTTGAGGCCACAAGTTAGTATCTTGAGGCCACAAGTTAGTATCTTGAGGCCACGAGTCACTATCTTGAGGCCACGAGATAGTATCTTGAGGCCACGAGTTACAATCTTGAGGCCACGAGTTAGTATCTTGAGGCCACGAGTTACAATCTTGAGGCCACGAGTTAGTATCTTGAGGCCACGAGTTAGTATCATGAGGCCACGAGTTACAATCTTGAGGCCACGAGTTAGTATCTTGAGGCCACGAGTTACTATCTTGAGGCCACGAGTTAGTATCTTGAGGACACGAGTTACTTTCTTGAGGACACGAGATAGTATCTTGAGGCCACGAGTTAGTATCTTGAGGCCACGAGTTACTATTTTGAGGCCACAAGTTATCTTGAGGCCACGAGTATCATTTTTTTATTATTTATTTTTATTTTATTTTTTTGCGAAAGTGGGACTAGGGGGGCTTCGTATTAAAATGATGCTATTCTGGAATATCATTACAGTTTAAAATTAAGCCATTTTTTTCCTTTGAGCCAATGTCTACTTCTAGTCTTCAGAAATTATTCTAACATGTTTATTCTGGCATTGCAGCATTTATTTCATTATACATGTTTTAATAATTAAAAATGTCTTTACTGTCACTTTAATATACTTTAAGATTAATGTTCTAGATAGTTACAATTAAATACAAGTATTCATAAATTGAGATTTGTCAAGGTCATAGGTTCAAAATGCAAGTGACATCAGCCAAGTGCATGAATGTAAACACAATATTGATTTAGGAAAACGTCCTTCTTGTACAGTACATGAAGAGTTTTACTTACAAACTGATATTTTGCTGTGGTTGTCTTTACTTGGCAGCATCTTCACCCCTCTAGACTTCAGCTCTGTCATCTTCTTCACTGAAAGTCAAAAGCAATATAACATGTTTATTTGAGAGCAAGAAGGATAAGGAAAAGAGGAAAAAAAAAACTATAATCATAGGCCAGATGCTTGCTAGGCATTACAAATCATGAACCACATTATAATTACAATTACAGTCTTTCAAAAAAGCTGTCAAACTTGTGCAAAAAAGCCTATTGTGTGTGAACAAAGCTCAGCTTGTTTGTTGAAAAAGCAACAAAATAATGCCAACAAGCATTCATGCGCACAGGCACATGCAGTTATTGTTTTCTGTTACATTGTTTTAATGATTCAGCACTTAGAAAATCAGCATTTGGATAAGCATTTTGTAATGGAGAAGTTCATCCAGTCCAGTCTCATCCCAAGACGTCATACAACTGACGCTTTTGACCATACGTCAACATCCGCTGTTTTAGGGTACCCTTTGACATCGGTTAGATGACGCTATCTAATCCTAACCCAGACCTAAACCTACCCCGTCACCTAACTGACGTTAAAGGTAAAGCGTCAGTTGGACGACGCCACAGGATCGTCGTGTAACTGACGTTTAAGGGTACCCTAAAATGGCGGATGTTGACGTATGGTCAAAAATGTGAGTTTGTATGACGTCTTGGGATGAGACTGTGTTAGTTCATCAGCTATCAGCAATTAGCTGTTTTAGTAAAAATGAATAGTATCATTATTATTATTATTATTATTATTATTATTTAAATTAAAATAGAGCATATTGATTCAATTACATTTGCAACTACCCTAAAGCTGAAGTCTCTAATTTAAAAAAAAAAAAAAAAAAAAAAAAAAAAAAACGGGTCACTTGAAATTGGGTCACTTGAACCATGTAATATGAATGCGGTCTTAGTGCCCCTTTATGTCAAAAATAGGCTAAGTTATAATGTATGCACAGCTGAAGTATCCAGCACCAGATCTGTTGTTGTTGTAAAAGGGGTTAGGCAAAATAAGTCTTGACTTCAGCCTAAACCCCTTCGGTCAGTATTTATGTGTTATTTTTTATTTTTATTTTATTTTTTTTTTCTTTCTCTCTTTTGTGTTACATGATTTATGACATGATTTCTAAATGACTGACCGAATAAATAAATAAATACAATACAATACAATCTGCAAAATATACACATTGTGCTGTACAACCGATAAACTCACAAAAAAAATTGTCTTACATTTTTAAATCAATAAAAGTAATACAAGCTGCATTTTTTTTTCAGAAACTGTATAAATGAGAGAAATTGTAAGAAATTAAATAGATGGACACAAAGATGTCATTAAAATATATAATTTATCTCTCTCTATCTCTCTATCTCTCTCTCAAATCATGTTAACCTGCCTCTCCATACCTAATCTTTGATGGAGTTTGAAAATGATTGTGATGAAGCTAAGTAGCTTGTTATTCATTGGGCGTTACTCATTGCAGAGCATTTGAGTAAAGATTGGAGAGAGGAAGGGAGGCAAAATAAAAGGAAAAAGGTCAATGGGAAATCTAATTAAGAGCTTAGCTATCTTTCTCTCTCCCTGATACTCTAACAGTATTTATTTATCCAACTCCAGTCCTGTAATCCCATCCCATCACTCTGATCTGCTTATGGAGGAGGTGGAATTCCTGCAGATTCAGTCTTTGGTCCCCCTGAGCTGAGCTGACTAATCCCGTTCCTCTGCTCATCTCCTTTGAGTGGTGACCTTTGAACTTGAGAGTGTGATGAGAGTGCCAGTAGCACAGCCGGTGTGTGTCTATGTGTCAGGTGTTGGGGGTATTCATGACCTTTAACTGACTTAATAACACTTAACCGAGATAATTCAAATAATTTGACTTTAATTGTAACTGCAGATGGGAAAACTCTACAGGGCACATGACGACTACAGATATCAAACAGCTGCAGTGAATCTACGGTGATACGGCTCTACGGCTACTCGTAAATGTAAGTACACATTGATGGCCTAAGACACGAAACGAGTGGTTTTTGTGAGAAAACGAACAGTATTTATATCGTTTTTACCTCGTGTAATCCAAGTGATCTGAATCAGTTGTGCAATGTCCAACTGAACCGAACTGAATCAGTTCAATGTTACCGCCAGAAGTGATCGCTTGCGTGTGACGTCACTCAATATTTACACGGAGATTTCGGAAGTTTTACCTTTTACTAAACATATTTAGATATACCGAAATAGTCTTCCATTGCGGTTTACCGTATACCTAAATATGTTTAGTGAAAGGTAAAACTTCCGAAATCTCTGTATAAACAAAGAGTGACGTAGGCGCGCAAGCGATCACTTCAAGACCGAAGCGCCCGTGCCATCAGATCATTTTGTCATGGCTATGATTACAAGAGGTAAAACGATATAAATACTGTTCGTTTTCCCACACAAACCGCTCGTTTCGTGTCTTAGGCCATCAATGTGTACTTACATACGAGTCATTAAATCATGTTTAATTTTGACTTCTCTGTGCATGCTCTTTCGTGGACCCCCTTAGCCTCCAGTGTATGACTGATAGACAACAACGGTTTGACTGAAAAATGTCAAAATTGAAAATACTGAGGAAACAAAAACACCTACATCTTGGATCCCCTTGAGGTAAGCTAAAACACATCAAAAATTAATTTCAAAATGAACTATCCCTTTAAGACATTCTTAAAAATGGAACGTTTTCGGAGTTTTGACGACCGGATAAGGCAAAAGTTTAATATGTCAACCAGCTCCGCTGGTGGGAAAACGCATGGGACTCAATCAGCCATAGCCGTTCGTTAGCGCTATATCCTATTGCGTGCAGAGGGATATTGAAAGACAACCTTTTATCCTGCCCCTCGGATTGAGGTATGCCAATTGTGAGTTCCCAGACCTAACATCTTGATTTAGGTCTGGCTTGCCAGGATAACAGTTTGTACCATTTTTCAAGAAATTTGATAATATAATTTCCAATTTATAATATAAAAAATATATATATTTGTATTTCTGGAAAAACATATTTGGAGTGAGAGATGTCTTTCAAACAAATTATTATGTTCATTTCAAGTCTCAATAAACTAAATGAAAAGTGCATATACCGGCCCCATATATTCAGTTTTTAACTTTTTAAAAAGGGCCTGGAAAGAACATGAGGGAACAAGACTGAAACTATCGTATCAAAAAAAAAATAATAATAAAATAAAAAAACTGTATTATGTTTTATAATTATAGAAATGTGTGCATTAATTCAAAACTCCATTCATCTAAAATGAAAATGAGGAAACACAAACTTGTGAAGAGAAGAATGAGTAGACAGCCCTACATATATCTAACCTTTTGCTTTATCTGTCTTTCCTCTTTCAGTTTGCTTCTCTCTTTTTCCCGGATGTTTTTGACAGCTACGACCCCTGAGCTTTTTCTCTGTCTTGTTACATAGACTTACACCAGTAAAGGCACCAGTCCCATGACAGTCCATCTCTTACCTTGATACTGAGCACTGAAGCCTCTAAGTTTGTGGTTTCCATCGGATGTGAAGTGGAGTCTCAGCCAGTTCTTGCTGCTGATGATGGGCGACGGCAAGTTTGGACCAGTAAACCTGTGATATGAAGAGAAGACGGGATTTATTTACTACGGGAGTGTAGTAAACTTTTTACTTTCTTTCTCTGTGTAACACTGAAACACTTTAGCTTTCATTTGAAGTTGTAGAAGTTTCTCTTTCCCATGCAATTACAAAGAACTGAGGCTTTCAAGCTTCAACAAAGATTCAGAAGCACCATAAAACTGGTCCGTGTGACTCATGCACTATATTCCAAGTATGATGAACAGACCAAGCTGTAGGTCTTTTTCCGAAGCTTGAAAGCTTTAGCCCCCATTCAATATAATCACATCTAGTGACCATCACAGTGTTCAGAACGTCTCCTTTTGTGTTTTTCAGAAGTCACATGGATTTTAAATCACAAGAGAGAGTAAATGATGACGGAATTTAATTCCTGAGTGAACTATTGATTTAACCTAAATTTAACCTATTTGATTTAACCTATACAGTATGTGGTTGTGAAGATGCTTGTACGTATTTAGGCTAAAGACGTACAAGCATCTTCACAACCACATGATCTGAAAAAAAAAAAAATATTATATAAATCAAATTATAATATTATATAATAATAATAGTTTATACACACTTTTTTTTAATGGTTATCATAATAACAACCTGCCTGCCCTAAACTTAGATGTACCAGTACTTAGTGCTTTTTATTAGTGCTAATTACTCAGATAACACAGGCACAGTCGGACAGCTTCTTTATTATGAAGAGCATTAATCGCATAAGCTGAAAAGGAAACAGAAAGTTGTCTGACAACGAAGCGTAAGCTCATCCTTGTAGTATTTACCAAATGTCAGATTTGGCACAACGAGCCCTACAAACACAAAGAAAGACAGAGGAAGAGGGAAAGAAACAGACGAGTGAGGAGGTATGAAAAGTTTACAAGAGCTTAGTCCACGTTTCCTATTTCTTGCACATCTGATGCAATGAAGTATTTTTAACTTCTTCTCCTGCTCAGACCAACCAGCGCTGAGGGAAGGGGATAAAAATGGGTCTGAGTCACAAACAGTATAAATCTTTTTGCAAACGAAATCATTAACATTTAAATGACTGCATGCAATATGTGTGTCTGTTGCATATGTCGTAATGGCTTAGTCACTTATTCTCTGGTGGAGCCTTTGAAAAGTGATTTTCTTCGCTTTTAATATATTTTACTTGCAAACCATCAAAGACATACCATGCAAACCATCAAAACAAAACAATTATCTGGTATTAGTTCGACCCAAAGAGAAACATGCAGTTGTTTTCATTGAATTATCTACATCAACTAACAGACATCGTGGCTCAATGTCATATGCTAGAAAAGTCAATTTGTGATGGTTGCATATTATGTGGCACATTACAGTCACTTAATATGTCACTTGTGTTCCTTTTCATGACCAGTCTTGTTAGTAAAGCTAACTGGACTTCCTGAAGTCATCACTACTCGGTCTAACTCTCATTGAGCTCTCATTTTTTTAAAACCATTCAAAAGACATCATTTATCAGCATTCATAACATAGTGAATGCTACTATATGTAAATAAAGTGATGTCGGGCACACCAGTGGGGGATCAGTCGCGCCAATAGATTAATGTACACAAAAAAAGGTAGTTTGCTAAGTATTCAGTCCCTTAAATGACTCCAGAAAACGGTCAAAATGTTAAAAAAAAAGCAAAAAAAAAAGCTTAGAATTCTGAACACAGGGTTCCAGACTGTGACCTTTTTCTGCCGGTGTGACAAAATTTAGTTAGAGGTCACACTGTTTCCACCACCAAGTTGCCCAGCTGATAAAGACAGCCATTTCTTTTGCAAACCTCACTACTCATTTGAACTGCACAGCGCAGACCTTTTATCAGCTCTGAGCAATAATAGATAGCACAGCGCAAGCTCAGAACAGGTTTACTCACGTGCCGATCGTTGATCAGGCGACACCATTACTACACAGTGCTGGGAGACCCAGTGAGAACGTGTTTGGATTTGCTGCTGCATATTTAGTATGTGTTTTGTGGCCTTATTTCAGAATCTTTAAGTTTTCGGGTTTTTTTTTTTCATGCATAAACAATATTCTCTCAAAAATACAAACATGTACATGCATGTTGCTCACATATTATGGTTAGCCATGTTTGTGCTAAATAGAGTGTAATGACAAATTTGCCATTAATATGTTTATAAGCAACAGAAAAAAAGCACAAATATCAGTCCCACTTTATATTAAGTGGCTTTAAGTACTATGTACTTACATCAAAAAATAAGTACAATGTATTATTGTGGTCCAGTTGCATTGTAAAACACTTTTGCTGCTATTGAGGTATGATGCGGGTAAGTTTAGGGACAGGTGTGGTGGTATGGGTAGGTTTAGGTTAAGGTGTGAGGGATGGGTCAACTGTGTTGCCAAGGTGCCAGACAGATACCACTAGACAACCCAAAAAATAAATAAATTGTCTGCACACTTGAGTCCTTAAAGCAAAATTTAATGCCAAACTTTTGGTAATACAACCATCCTCAGGGTATGACTGTGTAATGACAACTGTGTAATTACAAATGCAAGTACATAAATTAATTACAGCTGTAATTACATGCTGGTATTTTTAAAATATAAGTACAATGTAAAAACATGTATGTACACAATAAGTCCATTGTATCAAATTATTAATTTCAATGTGTGTATAGTACTTAAAGCCACTTAATATAAAGTGGGACCCAAATATCAGAGCATGTAAAAACATCAAGGACCCCCAAAACACCCTAGACCCCAGACGGTTAATAACACAGAAGCAAGATGTCGTGTGAAGCATTAAAATTCATAGCAGAATTTAGATAAACCATATCAGATTAAACAACGCCGATGTGAAAATGAGTTATAGTTAAGTTGTATAAGGCTTTTTAAAAACTAAAAAAAAAAAAAACTAAACTTTGTGGCAAACATTCTAAAAAAAAAAAAAGAGACATGAAATTGCTACAACCAGAAGTTGTTGACTTATTAGCCATTTTCACTCCCAAATATTTGGAAAAAAAAGTAGGAAGTCTTGTGAAAAAAAATAAAAAAATAAATAAAAATTCTTCATATGGTGAATGAATTACACAAAAAGCCACAACAGTTAACTTTATGATTAAAATCCACCCACTGCAACCAAAATCATGTGTTGACACCACCATCAGTAGAACTTAGTGGCGCTGGTGATACTGCTCTCACAGGATAGTCTGGAGCCCTGCTACACGGTATCCTGTAATATTTAAATAAGGTTTTAACTTTGCAGTTTTCTGACTGATTCACATTTTATAATTCTAGTAATTCCACCCTAAACCACTTTATATACCCAACATAGAAAAAGAGGCTGAAAGCCAAAAGCTTTTTCATCACTGATGAGCCACATTGTGTTTCTTTTCAAGTACACCTCACTAGAAAATAACATCCTTCTGATAGCCCAAGTATGTACTTTGCCTGTTTTTTCATTCTGCACGACAATAATAGTGGTCAAGGAAACACAGTGAGTCTAATCTGAGTGAATGATTTTTCTCACAGTGTTGTAGCGAGAGTATATTCGCTCTAATGTCAGGCATGTGGACCTGTTGTAGTGTCAAAGCTTGAAGCCCAAGGGTGTAATCATAGAGAATGAAGTGTACCACAGCGCTACTGATGCACCGGTGCCTGTCATAATGCTGTGATGCTAAAACAGCAGGGAATCACGTAGTCCTATTTTTAACACACATTAGTGCAGTTAGGGCTCATTAACTGAAACAGGCCCAGTGCTCTCATGGGACGCAGGAACAAGACTGACAGAACATCTCCGTTAGGCATCTTGGGGATTGGTGAAATCGCTCTTGTAGACATGTTCGGATCAGCTATGCTGAAACTTCAAGAGCAGGACATAGTATCATTACTATTCTTGAATAGCCAACACTATACAATATGTATGGATGGATGTTTTTTTTTTTTTTTTTTTTTTTTTTTTTTTAGGGCCCGAGCACTAACAGTGCGAGGACCCTATTGAAACTGTTAGGGTTATTTTTTTTCTTCTTTTTTTTTCTTTTTTCTGCAGAGTAAGCGCCATTTTCGGGGCCGCAACATGCTCAAAAAACTCACCAAATTTGGCACGCATGTCAGGACTGGTGAAAAATTTAGTATTTTGTGGGTTTTGCGGATGGGCGGGGCAAAATGGCTCGCTAGCGCCACCTAGAAAATTGGAAAAAATTAGCCCCTCGTTTTTTTGTTGTTGTTTTTTTACCTTTCTCTCCATGGAAAAAATCTAAATTAATATATAACCTAACCTTGTATGAAAATACCATATGAAAAGTTAATACAGGATTCAAAATGTTTTAAAACGACTTAAGGGCAATCATTTAGTAGATAAAGTCAGCGTTTCTTGGACTGCTCGGAAAACGGCTTTTTTTAACATCACATCATTTTACGTCACGACAGTGAGCCTCAGCTCACTCAGTGCAGAGTAGGCTGGTATTCAGTAAGATATGTCATGCGTCAGTGTGTTTTAGGTAGTTTTTGTATTTTGATTTATCATCGTCATGGTAAATTATTGTGTTTGTGGAGGTTGCAAAAAACTCCAGCCTGTCAGGACATCGAGTCATCGGGTTTCCATAACAAGAAAAAGGATGATGCTGTCTTTCATGCCTGGTGTGGTTTGTGCAGGTGAGGAGACTGGATTTGTCTTCCGTATTGGCTTTGAAAAACGCGGTCGTGTGTAGTTCACTTTAGCGATTATCGTCCCGGCAATATAGTGGAGTTCAACATGGGACGCCGAAGCAAAAATATTGCTCGTCTTACCAATGGCATCAAATCGTGCGATATAGGCAGTGTTGTGCCTGAACTCGTTCATAATTTGGGCGAACGTGAACTGAACGTACTGTATTACTGCCTGATGAACGATACTGTGAAATCGTTCATTCTGGTTTCTGTGAATGCACGCTCTCTCAGTAACTTCTTTTAATAGGGTGCCAGATTTCAATAAAGCCTTCCAGACGATAACCCGGCTAAAACACACTGTAAACACTGTAAA